GCAGCTCAGCCAGAACTATAATATTCTATGAGGGGAAAAAGAAAGGATTCTTGTCTTATTAAGTTAAAATGAGAGAAACAAAGATTCTGACAACTTAAATTATATGTACGTATTTCACTGCAAAATATCAGACATAATTGAAAATTTACAATGTCCTTGACAATTTAACAGATAAAAATTGTGTGTGTGGTCCAGCAAACTGAACTGCAATTATTTCAATGTTCTGGACAATCACATTGATATTTTATTGCTCCTTTTTGTTACATTTATGAGCTGGAAGTATTAAGAAATGCAAAGCAGCTCCTATGAACATATTTACCCCCACACAAAAATCTCTGCCAGATATTTCTACAGGTTCTGAAACAATTTAAACCTTCAGCAACTTATTTTAATCTATCATGATTGATAGAGTATCTTACCAGGAAAAAAGGATATAATAGGGCTCTTCTAATCGTGAAATATGTGGAACCATGAACAGTTTGTTTATCATCAGACCTTCTCAAAAGGACCCTATTTTTCCACAGTCTTTCGTAATTTTTTTTATTTAACATGAAATTGTTAGATGAATTCCATGTATAAACTCATGCCCTTTGTGCTTAAAATGGGACCAACTGAGCATCTCAGAATATCCCAGATATCTACCTCACGTTCAAAGTGCCTGAAAACACTAGCACATCCTTTCTTGGCTTGAAATGTACCTACATGACTATAGTCTTGTGCTAGTGGCATTCCTGAAATATTCTGGCCTGGGCAAGGGACATTACTCCCACCCGAGATTTCCAGAAAACCAGTGATTAGACCACCTGGCACCTAAATCCAATAGTTGACTAAAGGTATGCTGAATGACAGGATTAGGCTCCTTGCAGACACACAGTCATGGTGGTGACTGACTTCACTTTGTTAACTAGCTGGATGAAAAAGCATTTACATGAGATGTGGAAGATTAGGGATCAGATCACTCATATTTGCATACAGGGTCTCAAGTTTGAGTTCATGTCTGAATTCAGTCTCAGACTCATCAAGGATGAGATTGGATCAAGGACTCCTACCTTTCAGGCATCTTTTAGGAATCACTCAGGCCAAGTGTCTCTCAGCCTCCTTAGCTAAAACTCTTCTAATCTGTAAAGTAAAATAACTAGATTTTAGTCAAAGCAGAACTTGGGTCACTCTTCTTGCAGACAAGTCTCCAATATGGCTGAGGAGCCATCCCCTAAGTACATTCAAAGAACATTTTATGCATCAAATGAAAAGAACACCTCCAACAGCCCACATTGGGGGGGGTGGGGGGTGCGTGAGTTGTGTGTTGGCCTGTGGTTCCCAAATGCCACAAGCCTTGCCAAGACAGGGGTTGCCCCTGAGAGACTGCAGTACATGGGCAACTCACACTTGGCCATAGACAGCCCTGAGAGGCTGCAGTGCACAGGTAAAATACACAAGGGTAGGGATAGTAATTATAAGAACAGCAACAGAAGACCAGTAAGAAGCTCAGAGCTTCAGATCAAAATCTGCATGCACACCACGAGCTTCCTGCACCACTCCTCACCTCACTGGAGGAATTTGTATGGACCAAGTGTAACCCTTACTAAAAATGAGAGAACCTGAGACTAAGTGGGAGGAAAGGTGTTTGCCTGGAGTTGAGCTTGGGAAAAGAAGAAGAAAAGAGTTTATTTGTTTAATTGTTTATGTTCTTTTCTTCTTAATACACAAAATATTGATCAGAAATTTCTGTCAATGGACAATAAATTAAGTATAAATTCCCCAAATTCATTTTCTTCGTGGTATTCACCTGAGCAAAAAGATCAAATTCCTCCACAATTGTACGTCCAGTCTCAATCTATCTCCATGAAGCATCATCTCACGGAAGGAGACCATGGAAGTAACCACCATTAACACAGAAACACTGATGCATTCATTCCTGTCCATATTTGTGAGTCAAAAAATATTGGACTCAACATACCTCCACAATAAAGATGTGCAAGACATGTAGGCTCACTGAGATGTTTCTTTCAGGGTTTCTACACCACTTGCAATAGGTGGATAAAGAAAGTGGTGTGTTGCTAGAAACATGTGTCAAGCATCCAGGGCTACAATACCTGAACTTGTCTATCTCATGGATTCAAGCATCTATATTTCACCTCTTACAGAAAAGACCCTAATATTGAGTGATTTTAACTTTCCTTGGCCTAAAAATCTAATCAGGTTTCTCACTAAGATTCTCTAATTATGACTTTCTCAGCCAACTTTAACCTTTATTTGGACCTTTATTTTTTCTGCAAAACAGGAATCAGTTGTTTGCTAGTTTAGTACTGACAATCATGGCCTTGTTTACTTTATACTGCTGTCAGTATCTTTTTTTAAAAAGCAGCATAGCAAAATAATAAAAAAAAAAGTAATTCAGACAAATAGCATTTTTACATTGACAGGAAAGTTTAAAGTCATTGAGGCCAAAGAATTCCCACTAAGAGATTTTGGTTCCAGAAAGTGACTAACTCCTTTTATGCAAATAAACAGATATCTATCTGTTCTTGCTTCTATACCTCAATAAAATCTGTAAGCAGCTTAAAAGTTTCTGTGCAATATAGCACGAAGCTGTGAAAAGTAACATACCATTTCACTTCTTGAAGTAATTTCAACTGCAGACTTTAGACCAGTTGTATTATAATAAACAAACCATACAAGTCTGATCTGATTGTGCAGACAGTAAGCAGGCACAGAGTTCGTCTTAATGTATACTAAAAATTCTTGGCACCCCAATGCAAACAAACTGCAATGAAAAAAATAGCATCATGAGCAATCCTCCAAATCTTGCTTAAGATCCTCTTCATTGCCCCATGATCAGTCTTCCCTGCTTCTTGTACTGAAATGTGTACAATTATTTCTGTAGGTCTGAGACAAGGAAGAAAGCAAAACTCTCTCTCACTGAGAATATTTTCAAGCAGTCTTTCAGAAGTTTAACGCAAACACAGTAACATCTCCCTTTGAATAATATTCATTTTGTGCAGATGCAGCTATATACATGCTATGATATATCTGTGATCACTTCTAAGGAACAACTGTATCAAACTCTCATGGTAGCTACATGTTCAGTATTAGAATTCAAGCTGTCATTTTAATGAATAAAATGGCCAGGCAGTCAAAACTGCCATAGCTTGAATTTGGTAAGAGCAAACAGAGAGAATAAGACACTAGTAGAAAATTTTCTTTTATAAAGAACTTCTGTTTGATTTAGGGGGTTATTCTAGCAACGTATTTTCCCCTAAGAAATCCAATCCTCTGATTGCCTCTAAAACCTGTTTTAGTGCCAGAAATACTTTTACATTTAAAGTTTAATTATAGCCCTTACTTCTATCTTCTTACGCCAGACAAAACTTTTGGTGGTCAGTGGGAGTTCTGTATATCTAAAGTCACCTCTGCAAAGCAAACACAACCAGTTAAAGATATACTGTCAAGTAGATTTGAAAGAGCATTTAAAATGTTTCTGCAATTGGAACTATAAAGAAAATTTTAACTGTCTAAAATACAGTTTATATAAATGGCAATATGTTTCAAAAATTGTGTTAGCATCTTCTAACTTGTTAAAAACTTGAGATTTATCCTTATGGCAATAATTACTTGGCAATTCCAGTTAACACAAAATAGGATTTTTTGCTGTCTGTGTAGCAAACACAGCATTGATGCCTCTGTTTCAGATGTCAATATTCCAGATCTTTCAATCACAATCATTTAACTGATGATTAAGCTGCCACTCTGTCAGGACTCCTCTTTATTTTCCTTCACTTCAAATTCACTTAAAGTACTTTATCAAGTTAGAAACCCAACATAATTTCTTTTCTTAACTTTTCTTATGTCCTCATTCAAACTTAATTAGTCTATAATTTCGTCTTCCCTGGAAGAAAATTTGGATAGGAGACAAGATTCACTAAAATGTTCTGCATCTGTTCACAGTACATTTGTGTGTAATTTATCATTACATCATAAAACATAGTAGACATTCAGTTTTGAAAACTGAACACTCAATTATTGGTACAGTAAACGCAGATGGCAAGTGTGTTGCAGATAGTGCTCGAGAGGACTTTCCTGATGCTTTTGCTCCTAAGTAACACTTTTTACCATTAATTAAGTAACACTGGGTATTAATTTTGTTTTTCCCATGGCAATTCCTGGAAATATCATGCTTACATGTGGAACATATATTTATATAATTATAAATAAATATAGAATATTTTGGATAGTCTTGCATGTGTGAAATTGACTCTTTCCTAGCAATCGTTTGGAGATAGAACTCTGTAAAAGAATATAACAAAAATTCTGGTCTTGTAGCTTTTTAAAATTAGTTTTCCTCCAATAACAAATCATGAGGATTTAAAGCAAAACACATACATACAGTTACAGCAAAATAAACTCAGCAATTTTTAACCATGTTAGGTTTTTATCTTGACAGATACATTTTTCTTTCCACTTCTTTGAGATCCCATTTAGTGAGATATAACCTATTTCTTCTACAATATGCAAGTTACCATCATCATGAAGAAAATTTACAGTCAAGAAGAGAAAATGACATAATACCACAGGAATAGTTTCACATTGACAAGAAAGAAGATTTTCCTCCAAAGCAGAACACTGACTTGACTACTTAAAGATGCTTCATAAATAAATAAGAAATATCTAAGGTTGCAACACCCAGAAAGTCCCAGAACTCCCAGGAAATTATATTGCTAATGCCACACAATGACTAAGCTTTCTAAAAATGGTTTCGAAAGAATGAAGGTCAAAAGGAACAGAAAGAAGACACAAATACACTATGTGGTTTGCCTTTCCTCGTCAAACAGTACAGCCGTACAGGTCTTTGGCAGATACATGGCCTGTCCCTTGTATTGTACCATATTGGGACAAGTTATACCTACATCATTTTCTCATAACCTTCCAATATCCTGTCCGACTTGTAATCCTTGCACTATATGACCTCTCAAGAAATCTCCATTCTACTCACCAAACACATACACTCTCACCCCGTCTTCTGCATTTTTCTTGATTCTTCTGCCAGGAAACCAAAGCTTTTCCATGACCCAGTAGCTGGATTTAGAGGGGGATCAGTTAAAATCTAGCACTGTTTATAAGGACAAATGATGATCTTTGTACATTCAAAAACAACCCCTCGTAGCCTCTTAACCTTGTCCCAAAGTTGCATTTCTCCTCGGCTAGGTCAACTTAACAAAACATGACCAAGTCATGTCAATGATATTATAAGCCAAGAACACAACAAGAATTTTGAAAAAAACAGAGCTGCAATGACATTTTCAAAATGTTTAAATGTTTATTTTAATCTGGTTGCTGACTAAATTTCCCAGGGAAGTTTAAGACTGAAGTGACATGACGTGTACAAACCTATTGGAAGTTTGCTTTCTTTCTGATGACATTGGGGATTGTCTGTAAATTCCTGGTATTTGATGAGCCTTGCATTGATAATATCTTAAAGAAATGACTGAAAGAAGTCATGGAAGTCCTGAGTTAAGAGCAGTGTAATGGCCTAAGGAGAAATAGGATCACTTTTGTAATTTAGCAGACATATAAGGATGTTGTTTTTATGGATCTTCAATCTTTCCACCCCACAGACTGAGAAAGATGATAGATCATCCACATCAGATTTTGGGCCCATCATTATTTTGTGTCGCAGTTATGTGAGTTTACAATCTCAGTTGAGACCTCCAGGACATAGTAACATATACAAACAAATAATAAGAAAAAGCTACTAGCGTAAGTAAAAATTAAATTTTTGTACTGTGGTATTAATTTAATGAATGAAATTACTAAGACAAACTTCTTTATGTCCTTTTAGGATTATCAAAGTTTGAATTACTTTCCGAAATAAACATTCCTCATCATTTCATCCTTCTTTAATTCTTCCAGAATTCAGCAAATATTAACTGTTTCATCTGAAATATTGGATGTTTGCTTCAGGATGATTCAATTATTACCATCTGAGAGATTCTGATGTCTGCAAAGCTTCAATTGAATAAGGCCAGTCTAACCTCCGAAAAATATCAATTCCACGATGCTGAACAGAAGATTGCATTAATACAACAGATCCTCACTGAGGATTCAGTCGATACTGAGCAGGTTCAGTCCCGACAGAGCATTAACCTTTTAGCTGAAGTGCTGCACAGGCCAGTATACTCTGTTTCAAGCTTTAATTGATCTGCTATATTTGTTATATTTCCCACACTTGCAGTCAGTTACCACTGGGGGGGAGAGGATAAGCAAACCAAAGGCAACTAATTTTTCATATACACTACTCAAATCCTGCCAATCCTAAGAACAACGAGACTTCATATCCCTTCTTCCTCCTAGGTTTAAACGTATTTTCCTAGTTTGTAACAACCTTCTCTGGTATTGTGAAGGAGTGTGCTAAATTTCAGGAATGCCAAGATTTCTCTTTCAGTAGAATATTGTGGGTGCAGGGGTGGAGATGGTGGTAGAGTGTCAAAATGAAAATTTATAACAGACTTGTGGCACAACTTCAGTTACTGAGTGATTACTGCCATTCCTTAGTAACCCACTTTCCTCCTCAAGCTATGCCATTAACATTCTGGAGTATTAATTAGTGGCTTTGAGGTCATCTCCAGCACTTCAACTATGTCAGGATTCCTCAAAATTTGGAAAGAAACAGCGCAAACCTTGTAAGAATCTAGAACCAGATGCAGAAGTAGACCTGTTTTGATACAATCACATCAGGAAAAAAAAAAGGTTATATTATTTCCAATCAAAATGTCTAAATTGTTAACAAATACTTCAGCAAATGTATATTTATCCTACAGGGCAAAGGAGTTAGAGAGGTGTCCTCTCTTGTAAAGAAGCCATATTGTTCTCCACTTCAGTGTGTGATCTTCAGGATCTTCTAAGAATATCCGACAGACAGACAGCATGGAAAGGCAGAGATGAAAGGTCTCTATAAATGATCCTTTGTGCCAACATTGGAAGAGCAATTCCTGTGGCTGCTTCAGCCTTCTGGATCTTAGTGGCTCATGTTCTTCCAAGGGTAGTGTATTGGACACGCATTTTGATTTCTAAATTAAATGCTTGGTATGCTCATGAGAACTTCACAAAATCACCTTTCCAAGCAGTAACTGAGGGTGCATGCACTCCATGAGTCTGTGACATCTTCAGAGACCACAATTACTTTGAGCCAGTTTTCTAGTAGCTGCTGCCTCCCACAAGCTGATGAGCTCCAGATACTATGGTTCCACTCATTCTGCTTTTCATCCATAAGTTGAAGTTCTGCATTTGGTACCCTTGCCAGAGGCCCCAGTCTGGTATTATGCATTTGAATACCTCGCTCTATTTCTAATGTACATGAAAGACTAGTGTTTGATTTTTTTAAGATTTTAGGGATTTTGTTTGTTTGTTTTTTAATGTGACTTAAAGATCACCTGTTAAATGAACTAGAACAATGAAAGTATAAAAGAAAGGTTTCACCTGCTGTTGTATGGAATTACTGCTTGTCACCACAGTAACATGATTTTGGGTTAACTAATGAATGAGCTGTGATGTGATAAACAAAGCATTAAGAATGTTAGGATATAATAAGATTAATGGTAAATTCTGCCTTTCATCTCTCTGACTATGATTTTGAAATTATTTTTAAAAATATTGTATTAAACCTGTAGAAATGTTTTTTCTTCACCCTGAGAAGTACCTTAAAAAGCAAGGGATGAATATCTAAACTATTTTCAGTTACTTTAATAAAAGCAATTACTGTTTTGAAAAGGATAGTTCACCTGTAATTTTCTGACCTACGGGAGTGGATTACTGCCATCTCCCAGTGTTTTCCAGTTGTATGCACAAAGATATATGTGAATTCAAGGGCAGGTCTGCACTACACTATAGTGAGCTGGACCTGAATAAATCTATAATTTTTTTATTTTGTTTTGTGTCTATCCTTTCAGTGTTTTATCCAGCACACTTGCATCTATGCTCTATGATAAACCATGTGTTGCTAACATTACTTTTTATCTTCCATTCAGCCTGGACAGGCTCAAAATTAAACCAAAGTTGAGATATGCAATGTGGATTTACAGGAAAAGTATGCATAAAGGCACTTTATATGTACTATTTACACATTTTTTTATCAATTAAGTAATAAAAGTAAGACTTTGTTTTTCTTTCCCAAACTCTAACTAAAATTATTTTAACAGCTCATTTTGTATAATCTGGAATAATAAATTCAATGAGGACACTAATCTTCTTGGTTACTTCAAGTCTGAAGTACCCTTTTCAGATAAATAACAAACTGAATTTATTATTAAAAAAAATAAATATATATATATGCATGAGAAAGATGACTTCAGCACTTTCTTGAAATTAACATTATTCTACCTGCAATTATTTGAGCAATTTCCCAGGAGATAGCTAAAATATACATGGATATTATTAAAAAAAAAAAAAACCTTCTCAAAGACAATATTGCTTGTAATCATTCTATTTACTCAGCCACAGCTTATCTGATTTAAGTTGGTGAGATCTGAATATTATTTCACTCTAGCATAATTTCAGCTGCTGAGTTACATATTATATTTTCTTCTGACAGGTTTAACCCCTTTGATTTCATAACAATTATGTAAAGCAATCTGTTTTGCTACAGCATTGTAAAGCTAAGTTCTAATTTTGCAGAAATTCGCAGGAAGAGAACATGAATATTACAAGAGTATAGTATAGAATTAAAATTCTGTAGAATTAAAAAATATTAACTTATTTTAAAAACCAATAACAATCTGGGGTAAATCATTAATTATAATAGGGTCTGCACTTGTATAAAAAGAAATGGTTGGAAGTATGTACACTGATTTTAAGTATAAAAAGGAAGAAAAATTTCACAGGAGGAAGCTACAGATGAGACATTTTTGAGTAATAAACTTATGAAAAAAACCCAGCTGAAATAATCTCCAGGTGAGAGGATTAGTTTGCATCCGTCTGGGAATTAAAGGAATAAAAGTCTTGGGCTCTTCTACCTACTACTGAACACTTGCATAGCAGTGATACAACTGTACTGGGGTTATCTCCCAGCAAACCACTCTTGATTCAGTAAAACTTGTACAGACAAGCTTTATTTTTAGCACGTACTTGAACCACTCTGTTTTAATGGGAACACTTACATATACTTTTATTAGACCGAATGACAGTTCTCTCCTGAATACAGACTCTGTTCCCTATTAAGACTGAATTTTGAATTACATACACTGCTGTTACAAAATAAGTTTACAATCCCTCCTCACTCCCTATATCTTACATTTTGAAATCCCTTAAAAAAGAAAGGTTTCATTGATGAACTACCAGCCGGCACCACGAGCTTGGAAGGAACTGCTTTCTTAACCACTGATTTGAATCAAGTTCTGGCAGGAGGATGCAAGTATCATATATTTTCAACCACATTTCTGCTTTTGTTTTGGTTGATTTGTTTGTTTTTCAGTAGAGGATTTGAAATAATTCTCCTGAATACAGAAAAAAACTGAAACACAGATTATAAAGGAAAAGGATGATGCAGCTCAAAAACCTGACAGGCATTTCAGACTGCACCTAGGTGCTAATTGTAAAAGCAAGGCATAGAGTTTTCCAAAATGAAGAAAGAAAAGCTGCCTCAAGGGGCAAGAACAAACATTTCTCTACTTATGGAATTAGATTATGTACCAGAAAGTTGAAAAGAGTTGGAGGAAGACTAGGATTCTCTGCACACTGTTCTGTAGCATCAACAGAATTATTTACCATGGAACTAATCCACAAAGGGGTTTAGCATCATTGTCACAATGCTTATCTTTCCATCACCTCAGGGAATTGATAGCTGTGAACAAGGCAGTTCAGTTTGTGTTCCAAGGTGTTGCAGAGTTAAGCAACTAAAAAAGAATTCCACAAAAGCAGTGCATCATTTGGAAGGCAATGTTTTTAAACCCTAAAACAAGAATGTGATTCACAGTTCTTCGAGATTTTTCTGGGAATTTCAAGGGGTTTTTTCTTGGAATTAAAATGTACGGTTGATGGTTTCTCACAAAGCAGAGCTAGATGTTGCAAAGTAACATGGGAGATTTTTTTAAAATGTTTGCATTTTTGGTGAAAAAAGTTGGCTTTCCTACAGAACATGATGCATAAACTGCAAAATTACAATGATTCTCACAGTCTTGAATGAACTGGTCTGTTTTTAGGGAGAAAAACTGTAAACTGAGCACACTCAAAACAAAAGGGCGGTTGAAATGGTGTGTCCAATAACACACTTTTTACTTTTAAAAATGGAAACCTATCTAAAGCCCATGAGATTTGAAAAAATCAATGTTGCAGGTAACTTGTCTGAATGTTTGGAAGGGAAAAGTGCTTTAAATAAAAGAATTCTCAGCAATTCCACATGTTCTTTTTAACATTCTTCTAATCAATTAGTTGCTGTCAATTGCTTTTCACAGCAGGCTGACTCTGGATCGGGAACAAGAATGTAGTGCTCACTTACAATCAGACAGTATTCTTTCTCAGTACATCTGACGTAATTTTTGAAATATGTAATGTTCAGATACCTGATTAGAAGTCTTAGTAGTAACTCTCTCAAATTAAGACTTTAAGGATTATGGCTAGACAGGATATGGAATCATATTGCGAAATAATCATAGACTCTCACCACTCCTTCTGCGTAGTCTGTGCCAATTCTGCTGTGTGTAATGGAGGAGTTTGGAAACTTGAAGAAAAAAAAAATCACTAAACAAGGTAAAGCAACTGTGTTATCTCTAGGATGAGACATTATGCATACCTAGCTTGAGTGGTTGGAGCAATTATGTCCCGCCACTCAACTGTATATTTCCTGCAGCACTTCCTTCTATCACAGTCAATGGAATTTGTCAGGATCAAAATCAGGTCACCTTCAGCTATGTTGAGTCTGGCCAGCTTAAGCAAGGAATGACAAATTAACAAAGTAAACTCAGAGAAATCACATATGTCTCGCCCTAATCAGAAAAACAAACATCCTCTTCACAATTTCTTCATACACTGAGAGTACAGTGATTCAGTAAATGACACATCAGGTAGAATGAAACTTTGGAGTATGTATCAGTACACTAGGGGAAATGGAGTCTGTCAGGACAGCTGGGCACATATGATTTGACAACGCTTTTCCCTCAATGCTTCATCCTTATTGTAATATGCAGACAATGTCAGCATGTACAAGCAGTACATTTATAGGGATCTTTGTTTGGCCAAAACTCTGTACAAGGCACATGCCTGAAAATATACCTACATCATAAAATGGCAAAATACCATCTTGGAGAAAGAGAATGGACTTCATTCTCTGAGTTATTTAATCTTTGATATCTACCCCAAACTCACAACTGCATTTTGATTTAGGATAGTTCTGAGCTATGCCAAGTGTTACTAAGTCAGATTCAGTGAACTGGTAAGAAATATACAAAACAATCCAGTTACAATCCTACAAAAAGACCAACTCTGAGCATATTTTTTGATTGGAGAGGTTAACCCTTATGTCTGTGTTCCTCCCCTCACCTCTTGCAAGTTACTGTTTCTTCCTTGTAGCCTGGAAGCAGAATGAATAAAATTTAGACTAAACAGATTTTCATCAGACTAACCAAAAATATGAACAGGTCTTGCTGGAAATTCTTCGGAGTATCTCATTATCCCAGTTACCCCAAATTTACAGCCCTGTAACTAGACATTATTTCTGGCAGGTATTGTCACTATCTGGAGATTTGCATATTGTACAACAAAAGGGATACAATCCAATCATGGAGTAACCATGGTCCAAAACTGTTGTTTAAGGCATCATATTTGAAGCAGAAAATTGTGCTGTAATCCTTTGGCATAGAAATCAGCCACCCCAGATTCCCTATTCCCTCCTACCTCTTTCAGCAGCTCTTCCTCCAGCCTCTCCCATGGTCTGTCATTTCATGTGGCAGAAAAGATAGATTTAGATTAAATCATTCATTTCCACAGGGAAACACTGAAAGGATAAGTAACTGACATCTTACAATGAGAACAAAAAGGAGTGAATGTGATAACTTTGTATAAGATACACTTCTACACGAGACTAATAAGGATAAAATGATATTAAATGACTCCTACATAACTTATGTGCAATTTGCAGCATCATGTAAGGCTCTACATTCAGAGATGCATGAACTCATTTCAGTGAAAGATATCTGAGAAATACAAACAATATGGGGTCTTAGATTAAAAAACATACTCTTTTTCATGGATTCTCTGAAATACATGGAGGTAGAGGTAGTTCTACTGGTTTGTGACAGCTATCTAATATGAAAAACTATCTTAGATGTGAAATACCGCAAAACTGATGGCCTTTCCAGAGGTTGCCTACATATATGTTCAAATAAACACACAAAAATGAGATGAGGAAAAAAAAGATGGTAAATGTAAATAGTTATTTATATCCAGACTCTCCAGCTGAAGCTGCCTGCACAGAATAGAAAACAATGGCATATTCACAGACACCATACTGCTTTAGAAAGCATTTAAAAGGTGACTGGACATTTAACTTAGTCTCTCATTTTTTGGATTATAGTAATATCCAAATAGATACAATCTACAAACTGTCAATTTCAGCATCAGAAAGTATTATGAGCCTGAGCTTTTGTCAGTGACCCAATGATATTATGTTCCCCTTTTTTATCTGACAATGAAGTGAAATAGAAATCATGTTATGTCTGGCCATATGATGTAGATTTCTTCAGATACCAAAACGTTTTTGAACTGAAATAGAGTCAAAACAATTTATGCTCATTTCCACAGGGCAACCTGTGCTCCTTTTACCAAGCCAGGTAAACATTTCCTTGAAATTTTCACACAATAAGAAATGTTTTATGCTCTGGTGCATGAATTTAAAAGGAGAAAAGGTTTCTTTCCATTCATACTACTTTCTGTCCATTTTCAGGCACCTGGGTCTCCCCATCACACAAAACATGACATGATAAGAACCAACAGTGATTGAAATAAACTGTGGAGATGGGACAAACTTGAGCTGGTGAATTTTGTTTCATGAGCTGAGGTCTGAGAAAGAAGTATATTAAAATGAGTCACTATAGGAGTGAGCCGTTCAGCTTGTATGTGTGATTCATTGCAAAAGAAGCTGGATGTCTGTATATGCCAAGGCCTCCTTTGAGAAAATAATGTATTTTATGATTTATGTTGTTTCTCTATGTAAGTATTGGGAAATACTTTAATCTCAAACAGATCAGTTTTCCAGACCTTAATTTCTTAATAAAGCATTAATAGGCAAAAATATGCAATTCAGAAAGTTGTCCACCACAGCACTTAACTTGAAACAGGAATCTAAGATTATCAAGCACTCACATGATTTGAGCAATACTGCTTCTTTTAAAGTGTATCTGAGTTATAGCTCTTGGAAACATCTGTTTACTCAAGTACAGTGTTTGGTAACCTTAGCAATACTTTATTTATTCATTTAATGCCCCACAGGTCAACGCCTCAAACTTGTCAAACTAAGGGTAGTTTCTTAAACTGCAGTTAAGTTCAGTAAAGAAAAATTGAATTATATTATTGGGTCTTGAATGGTGCTACATATGTTCAATAATAAAGAACTCCAGTTTCTATAAAGCTGTTAATCTAGCATATTTCAGCCACACTTAATGAAAATACACAACAAAACAGAAAGCCCTTGGAAACAAAATTGATTTGTCTGGTTGACTAACTGATGGATCTAGGAAATTCTTGCCAAACATTCATGCCTTACTGTCTCTTCCAAATTTTAAAAGTTTTTAATCTTTTAAGAATTAGTCTATAAAATTACAAAGCACAGATTATGGTGGATACTTCATCAGCAGAATTGTGTTTTGAGAACCACTAAATTTAAAACTGTTGCATGGCACTTTGCCCATGACCCGTATCACTCAGAAAGCCAAGCATGCACACATGACTGAGAGGTCCATCAGTAATAGAAACACTGAGTAACACCTTAAAGTTGCATGATTGATAAAAGCAGACACCTGAAGCTTCCTTCTGTTTTGAGACACCTCTTAAAGTGCTTGCACACTGGTAGTTATTGAAGTTTTGGTATCTTTCATCCCCAAACTGTGAGAAATTAAAATAGCGGTTTATTGATTTGATTTGATTTCCTGATCAGGGAATTGTTCTCCCCTTCCTTGTCATTATTGTCTTACTTTTGCTTTCTTTTAGGACTTTAAAATTTTCTTCTTTGTACAGTAACAGATTCAGAACCTCTTATGGTTTGAAAATTAGCAGTACAAATGAGGCATTGCCATTTTATTTAAAACAAACTCTGCCAACACTTACAGAGATCTGCAGAAAGGCTGTCACCTGTGGGGCACCCTTCGGCAGCAGCATCGGTCTGATGGCTGCCCCGTTGTGATTCTGCCACCAGATCAAGGGCTTGGCAAGCAGAGGAGCAGCACAGGCTGGCACAGGGAGGAGAGAGAAGGAGAAGGAGAAGGGACCAGGGCCCTGGAGGATGGGGTGAGCACGAGGTGCTCTGGCCCCCCTGCCCAAACCACATATCGCTCCTGTCAGCTGACATGGTTACTCCATTCTGGACTTACGAGGCAAAGGAGTGGTAAGGGTACTGGCTGAGTGGCTGGCTTAGCTCACAGACAGCAGAACAAGCTGAGGTAGATGCCTCTACCATGACAGCAAAAGTCAGGTCACTAACACCGCCATGCTCCTCGCAGACCTGTAACCCCTGCACAA